GTCTCCATCGATGGGGTAGCCCTAGGCATTGTTGAGGTTAATTTTATATCCCCTTCCTCCTCCTCCACATCCTGTTCATATCGAAATAGTTATCGGTTTGAAAATCCCTAGGACAGAGATGTTCTAAAAACAAAGACTCAGCAAGCATCCCTTTCCTCTCAGCAGGCTCAACAACGGACGCTTGCTGGGCGTCTAGCCCCGGCGGCCCGCAGGGGGCGCGCGCAGCTTCCGCAGCTCAGTCAGTCTGGCAACCCGGAGAAGGTGAGTCCAAACGAAGGGAATCCGGGAGCACAGCAGTTCAGCACCCGCTCGACTCACAGAGCACTTAAAGCTTGAAAATAAAGACACATCTCGGGCTCTGGGTCACTTTGCTGCTACAACATAACCGTGTGATTGTTGGTACTGTTGGTCCCAAGTATCAGTTGCAAGTGAAGATGTCCGGGCTGAGTCTCAAGCGATCGCGGTGCCCTGGACCTTCGATCTAAGATCTGGATGGCTCTCTGGAGGCTTCCAAGTAGCTCGCGGCTGTACCTACTGCCAGAGCCAGACATCCTCTGATCAGACTGTGGGGTTTGTCTCTGTGGGCATCCTCCCTGCACTGACACCAAGGTCCCCAAACAATAGCCACCAGGTTTCCTCAAGCCTCAGAAGCAGGGTTAGACCACTACAGTCAGACTAACAGGCTTCACTCTTCACTACCTGAATACTCTTCTTAACCCTATGGGCACCTCCCCTCCCCCCCTTCACTGGGGCATGTATTTCCTCTGGGGAACTATAGGGGACCCCTTACAGTTCACACACCCTCAAGGGGGCAGACACAGGCTGAGACAGGCTGCAGAGCCTTTTAGTGACTATCTCCAAGACCTTTGGATTTTGTAATTCAGTGGTGTGTGTGTGTGTGTGTGTGTGTGTGTGTGTGTGTGTGAGAGAGAGAGAGAGAGAGAGAGAGAGAGAGAGAGAGAGATATTGATTGATTCCCCATGGAATCCATAATTCATTGCCAACATTTGTCCTGGGCAGGCTCTGGGACTCTCAGTCTTCTTCTGACAACAGGCCATCCCCTGACCATGCTGGAAGGAGGTCATTCCAGACCTCTTCCCCCAGGCTTCGAGCTGGACACGGTCGGTTGCGCCCCTTGGGCTCTTTGTTCACACGCAGCAGGCTAGGAGCAGCTGCTCCCAGAGGCTGAGCACAAGGAAACCCGTCCCTTGGCGCCTTCTCCCATTCTTGTGCCCATGCCCTTACACCTCCCTTGAACTCACATCCAGTCCTGTCTTTTCTCCTGGCCCAGGGATTGAGGAAGTGCAGTTCCTAGGGCCCAACACTGCATTCCTGCCTGGCTCCCGTGGCCCAGGGAGGCAACGGGACAGTTGAAATGTCACTGGCTGAGGTAAATATTAACAAAAAGCAAATGGACTTGTGCGGGGCCAGTTATCAATCAACCAGGCCACAAGGCCACTAACAGCAAACACAGTCCAGGTTGGATCCGGCGAGACTTTCTCATCGCCGCCTCTACGTGGAACTCAGTCCCCCTGGCTCAGGTCCTCCAGGACTTTCTAGGTCAAATACTTGACCAGTAAGGGGGCGAAGTCCTGGGTGCTGAAGGCCTGACCATTTCCCCTGTATTGTTTGGAGGCTTCCTCACCTGCCAGTCCTGCAGTGTTAGAGTGGCCCAGCAGCTACCCACTCCGAAACCTTGGGCCTGTGAGCGACAGCCTCCTAGGTTTACTGTGCCTTGCCTATTGGTGGGTATCTGCTGCCATCTCTTCCAGCGCTGGTAGCTCCTGTGGTGCAGCCAAAGCCTTTTGAAATCTTTAATTGGAAACTAATCTCCTGTGACTTGATAGGCGCCCACGTCAGAGGCAGAGCACACCCCTAGCCCAGTTCCCCCATCCCACTCAGGATCAGAAGCAGCCGTGAGCCCAGTGGCGCTGTGTTATAATGGGGCAGTAGCAAGTATAACATTGAGAGAACATATAAATTGATTTTTTTAAAAGGTAGTTAATTTGGTGAGAATTTCCTTCTGTCGCCCATTTTCCACCAGAGTTGAAAATTCCAGACCAAAGGTACCTCTCCAAACATGCTGCCTCATGCAGAAGGTTTTGACCATTGGCAACAAGCTGTGTGGAATGTAGGAGACAGAGAGGTACACGGAGAAGCCATCCTCCTGCTGAGGAGGGAAGGAACACATCTCAGTGTGATTCTGATTCCCATGAGGATAGGGAGGAGATTGCCGGCCCTGTCTTTGAGGGCAACAGCAAGCAAAGCTACAAGGGGGCACTTCTGCATTGGGGAGCTGGTGGAGGAGGACAAGCACCAAGATCCTGAAGCCAAGGCCAAGTTGGTTTTCAGGATCCTGCACTCCTAGCCTAGACATCATTTGGAGGGTTCAAAAAATGACTTCACTTTTTTTTCTTTTCTTTCTTTCTTTTTTTTTCTTTTCTTTCTTTCTTTTTTTTTTTTTTGGTAACAAATTGTTAAGGACTCCAACCGTTACTCAGTGGTTTAAAAATAGGTCATGCTTTTGTGGCTTGAGAGGTTCTTTGCATGGGGCCCTCCTGGCCAGCACTGCATGCTCAGTTCCAGCCCTCCGCCCCACCTCTTTAAGTTGGGGCGAGGAAGGAATCAAAAGTAGAAGACTCAACGTTCTATCCAAGTATCAGGACACCAAGTACCCCTTGGGTTTGTTGAAAAAAGTGTGTCCAGCCAGAGTCTCCTATTTTTTACTTTTTCTAGGAAAAGGCCACCTGCCTGGGGCAAAGAGCATCCGGCTCGACACAGGCTGCTAGGTGCCCAGGCAGGCGTCTCTTCAATGAGTACCTGCCTAGCACCTCCAGGCCTTGCCTCTGTTGTGCGGGTTGCGGCTCTTTTCTCTACCCACCACCTCAGCTCTCCAGGCCTGGAGGTCAGAGGGCACACACCTAGAACAGAGCGCTAGATCGGTTTCTAAGGCACGGGCTGTTGCCAGACGCAACCCATCAGTCTGTCCTTCCAGGGGAAGACCAAAGGGAGTGGGGAAAGGAGGGTGATGAAGTCTGGAGTAAGAGCTTTGACTGGGGGTGGGGTGGGGCACTGGACTTCCCCTGAGGGAGTACCCTTGGTTTCACCTCTTTTCCATTTTTCTCTGTCCCACTCGCTGAGTTTGGGTCGCTTCTAGGCGAGCATTGTTCGGGTAAAAGGTCCCGAACTCCAGCCCTTGCGGTGGGCTTGTGAAGATACACTACCTTGGATGCCCAGTCAGGTTGAGCAGTCAGGGCAGGGAGTGACCCCTTCGTCCACCCTCTTACGAACTTCAGCAGTTCGTAGGGGTTTGGTCAACCCACGTGGGGCAAGATGATGGTGGTCCCAGTGCTAGAGAGTGGAAACACCGGAGCCCAGGATTCGCTGAGATACTCCGTCAGCCTCTCCCTTCGGTCTCCTTACCCGCTGCCTCTCCTGGTTTCCAGACGCAGGCAGCAGGAATATGCCAGAGAACGTCGCTTGGCGAAGGCCAAACTAGGCTTGAAAACCCCACAGGACAGAGGCTCAGTCAGCTTGGTGCTCCGGACCGAAGACCTCAAGCGCCCAGACCCAAGGAACGCTTTGGGTCGCTTCAAGGCTCGAATCTCAAGCTCACTCGCACCTGCCTCCCTCTAGCTTCTTATTGGCAGGCACGAGATGGGGGAGGGGGTTTCGGCTTTACGCTTTGATTTTAGACTGTGAAACGGCTCAGTGCCCCCGGCTCAGAGCGGATTGACTGTCTCACGTTCTCCAGGGACGAATTAATGGAGAACGATCAGTTAATTAACAAACCCTCATTCCGGCTTTTACCTTTCTCTTCGCCAAGGCTCAGGCCCCGGCGCCAAGCTGAGTTGCGCGCGCGGGGCGGGGGTGGGGGGGCATGGACTCAGGAGTCAATCAACTTGGCAACCTCCGCCCAGGTCTCATTAAACCCAGTCTGCCCTCGGGTGCCCTTGGCTCTATCTCCCCTCTTGTCCTCGGTCTTCAGAGGTCGCCGAATCCGCCCGAAATCCCTGGTGCGGTTCCGGCTGGGTTCAGCTCTCTCCTCCGCCTATCTGCAGTCTAGGGGAGCCAGGCGCGCTGTCCACGCAGCGCCACCGAGACCTTACCGCTTAACTACGAAACAGCCGGCTTGGGATTTGGGCCCAGAAGACCTTTGCTTGCAGACTTGGGGGTCATTTACATACTCCCACCCTCCTGTGCTGGGATTCAGACTGAAAGTCACGAAGAGGAATAAAACAAAATGCCAAGTCTCTTTGTAAAAAATGCAAGCGAAGGTGGCCCCCTGGCCTTCGCTGCGAGCTCCCTTATTGCTCTGCCGTTCTCACCTGGATCTCGGTACTGTCTGCCTTCCTCCCTCTCCTTTCCACGGTCGGTTCCACACTCATTGTGTACCAACTTTTCCGACGCGTCCCCTCTGCACACACTCCGCTCCATAACTTTGGAACGGCTTGCCCGCACTCTTAAAAGTGCGGTTCTCCGGAGCCTTACTGGTGCCAAATGAGCCCAGGAGGGGGTCGCCGCAGCGAGTTCAGCCAAACCTTTACTGGCAGCTCTGGCAAGCTCCAGCCCAGCGCCAAATATGTACTTGAGGGTACTGAAAGGGAGCACCTAAGCGCAGTTCCAGACACGCGTGCCCCCTACCTCACTTATCAAACCCGGAGTGCTCAGCTGAGAAGCTATGCACAGACTGTGTCCTAATAGGTTCGAAGATTCCTCCGGCCGTGTGACCCTCCAGCGCGGTCCACAGCACAAATGCGCCCCTAGAGTCACCGAGGCCGCTGCAGCTTAGCTCCCAGGGCCTTCCACAGCCCATTGCACTAAACCCTGAAGGAGGCAATCTGCTTCCGAAGCCGTGTGCTGGCTCTTCCAGGCCCAGGGACCCCTTCTAAGGAGAGGGAAGGATGAAAGCTCTGCCTACTCTTTCCCTCCCACCTTCAGGCCCTTGAGTTTCCGAGTCCCTTATCTCGCTTACGCGCCAAGCTCTTTGGCCCGCTCACCTGCTAAGCGGAGCGCGGACATTCGCTGGAACTCCGGTTCCTGAAGCCACTTCCACATCCTCCGGAAGGTCTCTCGGCCGGACTTGAGTTTGCTCCAGGGTTTGGGGTTGCGCAGCAGGTCCGAGAGGGTCCCCTGGGAGCGGCAGAGCACCCTCTGCGCGAAGATGGCCTGTGGGATGCTGTAGCGTTTGAGCTCGGTGGTGATACGCTGCGCCACCTCTTTGGTATTGATCTCTTCCATCTGCCCTGAATTACTTCCATTGCTGACCTGCGCGCCGGTCACCGAAGGGTTGGGCTCTCGGGCCGTTCCCAGGAGCTGTCCGTGGCCCTGGGCGTTCAGGTGGGCATGGGGGTGGTGCGGAGGAAGGCCATTAATGGGCACCATGCCAGCCGAGGTGGGCGTGAGATGCTGCTCCCCGTGGCGGCCGAGCATGGCCGGGTGGTGGGCTTCGAAGCCGTTGGGGGTGAGCATCTTGTCGGTGGGCATGGCAGCGCCGGGGTGGGCATAGTGAGGAAGCCCTTGCTGGGAGTTGTGGATGCTGCCCAGACCCGAGCCGGAGAGGGGCGAGAGGCTCTGGCCCATTCCAGCCACGTCCTTGTGGTAGGGGGTATAGAGGTTATTCATGGAGGCCAGCCCGCGCTCGTCCCGCATGAGTGTGAAGCTACCGCTCACGTTGCCCGCCAGACGCTGGTGGTGGTGCGGGTGGTGGTGATGATGGTGGTGGTGGTGATGGTGGGGGAATTTGTCCGATACGGTGGAGATGGGCGGCAGCGGCTGAAGAGGGGTTAAGGTGGTGTAGGTGGTGGGCATGCTCATACCTGGGGGAGTCTCGCAGGCCATGGTCATAGTGGGGTGCAGGGGACCAGCCAGGCTGTGCTCAGGGGCTCGGTGGTGATGGTGGTAATCGCTGCCTCCGCCGCCGCCGTCCAGGAGGGACGCCATGCCCATGGAGCGCGGGTGCGCGGGAGGCAGGTGGCTGCTACGGTGTGCCACAGAGCTGCGCGCGTGGGGACTGCCGCCCAGTAGGTCGGCAGGGGCGGGCACCGGCTCATGGCTCACCCCGTGCAGCTCGCTGATCGCCTCCATGGTCAGCTGCGCGTTCATCGTGATCCCGGCGAGCGGGCGGCGGACACAACATCGATGTGGCCGGGCAGAGGCTGCGAGGAGCGCACGGAGTCCGGTCTTCACATTGGCTGCCAGCGACTGTAGCCTTTCTTCCTTCCTCTCACTGTGGGTCTGTATGAGTGTGTGTGTGTGTGTGTGTGTGTGTGTGTGTATGTGTGTGTGTGTATGTACGCGTGTGTATGTGTGTGTATGTCTCCTTTCCTCTTAACCCCACCTTCCCCTCTGCGTCCTCCGCTTTTAAAAAATATTAATTTCCAAAAAGGATCCGCGTTGTTGGGAGAGCGCGATGCCACCAGCCCTCCTAGCCCTGGTCCCCTCTCGCCCCTTTTCTTAGAATTGTGAGGTCCCCGGCTCCCCTGACGCGACCGGCGCGCCTGCCACGGCTGCTGCCTGCCCGCGCCGCTCGCCAGCTCGAGCCATGGCTCGGTTACTGTTGCAGACTCTGTGGCTGCGGTTCAGTCGCCGCCGCGGCTGCAGCGGCCCGCCCTCACGCCTACCGGTCGCACTGCGCATGCGTACGGCTCGGCCCCGCCCTCTGAGTCCCCGCGATCCCAGCCCTTGAAGTCCCCGTACAAATGAAGGTGGGGAGGGGGTGGTCTTGCGCCTTCCCAGCGGCGCCGGATGGCCTGGAAGCGGTGGGCACGTGCAATGAACTGGGGCGGAGCGCGTCCTGGGGCCGCCGCCGCAATCTCGGGAGACTTGCTTCCCGCTCGCCTCCCTTGCACTGGTGAGCTCTTTCCTTCTAGCCCCAGGACGCTGCTGCCAGGCTCCCATCACGGTTGGCTCGCTATGCTGGGAGCTTTACTCTTCTCTCTATAGTTGCTGCTTCCCGGGGAAGGTTGCCCGGGAAGCTGGGGATTGTGTCATCACTTCTTTCACCCAGGCCCACTAAACTCTGTTTCCCGGAGAGATGCTGTAAGTTGGCGCTTTCTGCACCCTTATAAATGTTCGCCTATTGGAGAAGGGAACCCTAAATATCTTAAAGGTCTCGGTCAGGTTGGCAGCTGTTGACCAGGCATCCTTCATCCTCCCAGACAGTCCTCTGCCCACCCTTCCTTACCCGTGCCCTGAGGAAGGAGCATTAAGTGCCAAGAGTCCATACCTCGCTGTCCCTAGCCGCCTGTGTCCTTCTTCCGCGCAGCTCATAATTAAGGCTGCACGCCCGCTTCACCAGTGACTCGGAGGGGAGGGGGAAGGAGGAGGGTAGGAGTGCCCGGGTGGGTTCCCCTGTTAACTTCCGGTGCTGAGGGGGCCGCCGAGGCTCGGGCCGTTGGTAGGGTTGCCTCCGAGGCTCTCCTGGTAAAGCACCCAGAGGCCGCTGCTTGTGAAAAGTACTGACATAGGCAGGGTGAACGCTGCCACGCGGGTCTCCGCTTGGCCCGTAGGGACGCCCCTTTCCCAGCGTCCCTGAAGAAGCCTCCGGTTGAAAATTAATTCAGCTTCGGACGTAATTTTGCCCTTTCCACTGTCATGTTCCAATACGGGAATCAAACCTGGTCCTTAGGTCTGGACGCGTGGAGAAGCCCCCAGTGTGGGATGTACACCCGGCCGCCACATGCCGCGGCTTTCTTTCATTTACAAAAGAAAAGAAAAAAAAATCCGTAACAAAAGGCAGAGCCGTGTCCGCTTAGGTGCTTTCATCCCTCGGAGAAAGGACAGATGTGCCCATTGTCCGGCCCTTGGCAGTTATGGCCGGGTCAGCGCCGAGCCTCAGCCGCGGGCGAGCTGTGTTCACAATGGGGACAGATTCTCAGAGCCAGGGTATCTGGGCCTAGATACAAAATAAAGTTTGTGTGTGGCTTGTACTGGGCCAAACTCAAGTCATAGGTTTGTTTGCTGAGACACCGGGCTGAAATCCACCACCGGTGTTTCCACTGTAAATGCTCCCAGACCCTTGAAGAGGCCAGGGCTGAGTTGGTATCATGGTGGTGGTTGAGCTTCCAATAAGAAAGTTTCAGCTGGACAACCTTTAGGGAAGTACCCATCAGCTAGGGTAGGAACTAGTCAGGTCCATCTCCTTGCCTAGGTTCCACCCACCACAGGCCAACATCATGCATGATTCAGGTAGGTCACAGACAGTGGGCACAGTCAGTTTGACTTCCTTGAAAATGCCTTGTTCTGGGGCTGGTTAATATGGCGGTCCCAGAAACAATCTCATCCTATCCCAGCAATTTGTGTGGAGGCCCTGAAAATGGGGGCTCATCTCAGTGGACATCATTTCTACTTGCTCAGTGAACATTGAGGAATATCCCTCCTCCCCTGGCCAGGAAAAGCCCTTTGGGAAAAATACACTGGCCAAAATAAACTCAGAAAAACAATCACTCTATTTTAACATATCTGTATCTACCTGTTCATACACATATATACACAAGCATAATACATTTGTTGTCTAGTAGATCACAGTTTGTTGGTGGGAAGCTTTTTTAAAAATATTGTTTCTGCTCTCTTATAGCATAGAACATTGGCCTTGCATATGAGCCCAAACAATGGGTTAAAATAGCAGGCAGCCTTTGAGCTAAACTGTCACCCCCCCCCATATTTTAATCCTACAGAAATGATCGATTTGCCCTATGACAACTCTCTTCCCAAAAGGCAGTGTGTTAAAAGAAAGAAGTAAATACCACCAAGTACACAAATTGTTCATGGTTTTCCCTTTGTGTAGCTAATTAGGGGCTTGATCTTGGAAACCCTCCTTGTGAGGCTCCTAGCTGATCCCCTGGGGGGCACCTTAAGGGGGCTTGGATCAAGTGAGCTTGACTTCACCCATCCACAAAGGGACTTTTGAAAAGGGGGCCTGTTTTGATGTTGATCACTAAAGGGGAAGTGAAGGGAAAAATCTGGGCAAGTATGTGTTGGCCTTGCTTAGTTCAATATTTCACACTTTTCCTGAAAGATTTTCAAAAATGCATGTGACACCAGGTGCATGCCTGTAATCCTAATGGCTCAGGAGGCTGAGGCAGGAGGATCTCAAGTTCACAGCCAGCCTCAGCAACTGGCGAGGCACCAAGTAACTCAGTGAGACCCTGTCTTTAAATAAAATACAAAAAAGGCCTGGGGATGTGGCTCAGTGGTTGAGTCCTCAGAGTTAAATCTCTGGTACTCCTCCCCTACTCCCAAAATGCCTGTGAAGGACTTGCTTGGGTTTGTGAATCTCCTTCATTTTTCTTGGCTATTCACACCTTTTATTTAACCACTGTCTTCCTGTAGTTGATGAGTTGCAGTGATCTCAGTCAGAATATTTTTCTTCCTTGACCTCTTACAAAATTTCAATTTACTAAGAATGTATGATGGGTAGGAAGGGTGCTCTTCTCAGGCCTAGTTAAGGTGAGTGCATGTGTGGGGATGGAGGGGCACTAGATAGATTGCCAACTGTGTGAGGGCTGAGATCATTTTTTTGTCATATCCCCCCCCCCACTTTCTTTTCCATCTGCCCCACACAATGCCCGGTCCACATTAGATGCATTATGGAGAAGGAGGGAATTACAGTACAAGGAAGAGTTCTTTGATATTTGGAGGTCAGTGAATGTGATTGAGAGGAAGGCTTATAATTAGATACTTAGATTTTGAGTAGCTGCAGGAAATTTAAAGAAAAAAAGTGCTAATCAACATCAGAAAATTACTACAAGTATATATGTTTTCTAAAAAAGGAAAATAAAACTATTGACTAGATGCTTGTTGCTGGCAATATTTTCAGTTTGGAAACCAGGATTTCAAAATATTTATTTTGTAAATGTCAGAAGAAGAGCCTGGGGGGTTGGGACGAGCAGGTACACTCTCATGCTGGATGCTCTACAGCTTGCCAGGCAACCCTCCAGGCAACCCCATCAGGCTTAAAAAATTAAAAGCAGAGGCCCATTTTTCGAAATGCTGACCACACAAAGTTCTCTTAGAAGCTCCTATTGGTTTCAAAGTTAATACTTTATTTTTCTTTGTGAGTAGTAGAGGTGTAATACAGGGTTATTTCCCAGTCTTCAGGATCATTCCAAATAAATGTTTCTAGACCCCCTGAGCCATCAAACATGTACTTTTCATTTTTTTTTTTTTTTGGGTGTCAGAGCAAATATCTCCAAGGTCCCAGGGGAAGACCCACTCCTTGGCTAGAGCCTCAGAATGGAATTCATCATCATTTCAGATGACTACATTCAGTCTAGAATTAAACTGCTGGTGTGGAACCATTTCCTTGATATCTAACTACAGTAAAGCACTTGATAGCTGGGGGTGAAGGATTTGATCCTGGGTGCTTCCCATTGGGCTCTCCTGTCTTCCTCGGGAGTCCTCCCATCTCTGGAGAAATTTCATTCAGAAAATTACTATTGGCTTAGAATAGAATTATCAAGAAACATAGAAGGGACTAGATTGGTGATTTGCTATTGAAAATAATTTTTTAAAACACAAAAACCAAGTTACTGGGCTGAGGGTGTAGCTCAGTTATAGAAATATACTAGGTTCCGGGCCCTGGGTTCAATTTCCAATATTGAGAAGAAAAAAAAATAGTGACCTTCACTCTGGGACAAGGAAGTTACCAATTATCCTGGGCTTCTTTTTCAATCTTTGATCATCTTTTTGTCTATAGTTTTTATTCACCTTTTCGTTAACGTCTCCCTCACTTTTTCCTTCTTAAATTCGGTTTTCACGCGTGAATTTTTAAAAATTCGGCATTTTCGCAGTTTTCTTTGTTTCATCTTACTCTATTCGTAACTCCAAATCTCAAAGAGAGGATACTCTGCTGAAAGGCTGTCGGCTCATGCCAACCCTAGAAATTCCGGACCTACCAAGAGCCACCTGAGTGGCCATCCTGGAACTTCAGACCACTCCTGGTGTGTCTGTTACCTCCTGGTGGAGGAAGCAAACCGCTCCCCTTTCTAGGTTCCCTAGCTGAACTGGAGGCAGCTTCACCTGGGTTGAAATCCGTTCCGGCAGTCATCCACTCTGGCGAGAGCTTTGCAAGGCTTCGAACCAAGAGCGCTGAAGGAAGAGTGGGTGGAGCATGAAGGAGGGGGTCCAGGTTCCTAGATGACTCTCTGGCCACAGGACCGTGCTAGTCGCAACCGGCGCGATTCTGGGGAAGTTGGCCAACCATCAACCCTTCACGGGTTTTCTTTCT